GGTGGCAGAGCGCCGGGCCCCCGACGCTTGAGTCTGGTGGCAGCGAACGCCGGCTGCGGGCGCTGAGCAGGACAGGGCTTGGCTTTCTTAAAATCTCCTTGGACTGGAGAGATTTTGGGGATTTTCACCATGCTGGCATCATAAATGGGTGGTCTGCTGCTTCGCTGAGTCTCCCAGGACTCAGAGCCTGGTGCTGGGTGCCCTGATCTGGGTTGATGGCTTCGGCACCGGGCTGCAGCCAGTCCTGCCATGCTGCGGTGCTGTGCCATGGTGCTGTGCCGCGGTGCCCTGCCGCGGTGCCCTGCCGATGCCAGCAGCCTCGAGGACTCTTTCCTTTAGCACACCATCCTCCATTCACCCTTGCCCCTCAAGACCTTCCCCATGGAGAAGGCGGGAGCTGGGCTCACCCCCGGCTGGGTGCCAGGGCTGGTACTTCCTGAGGGCATTCGGAACTGCCAGGTGCAGGCTGAGACGTGGGTTTGACAGGACAGAGAGCAGATCCCAGCGGTTCTGTCCGTTTTCCGTGATATTTGTGAATGAGCCGTTCCTGCACAGACACAGACACTTCATCTGCTCCCGGCTTGAAATCTCAGGGGACTTTGAATGTTGCCAAAGAGACGGGGCCACGTCATTTTTATTTTGAATGGGATGATAATAAGGTGGCAGCACTTCCAGGGGGTCCCAAGGGCTTGGAGACCTGATGGCAAATGAAACGAACCTCTGGATATGCGGCGTTGGGATTTCTGCTTGGTTTCATGTCATGTTTTTTGTATTTTTTTTTTAAAGCCAATCTCCTGTTTCCTGAAAGGGCTGTATTTGTGATGTGTGTGTGTTTGGGGCTGGAGTGGGTGTTGGTGAATTTGGCCTCAGCTTTTAGGCTTGCTGGATCGAGTGCGGGGATGGATCCCACTGAAAACTCACTGATGGTGATGAAAACGCGGAAACACTCTTCCCTGCTTCATCCCAAATTCCTGAGGATTTCCCCACACCTTGGGATGTGTTAGTAGTTTTTTTTCTTCCAGTGTGAGGGTAAAGTCACACCGATGGGGGTCCTTGCCTCCCGTGAGACAGGGAGCACCCTGAAACCTTCCCTGCTCTCCTCTTTGCCTTGCCTCGTGCCGCGACACGCCGGGGTGTCCTGCCTGCGCTGTCCGTCGGGGATGGGGGATTGATGGGGTGATGGGGGATTTATAGGGGGTGATGGGAGATTGATGGGATTGATGGGGGATGATGGGGGGGATTGATGGGGTGATGGGAGATTGATGGGGGTGATGAGGGATTGAAGAGGGTGATGGGGGAAAGGAAAGGCTGGTGCTGGACAAGGTCTTGCTGTTGAGATGTCTGCTCTGGGCACTGAGAAGGGTCAGAAGAGTGTGATGGCTGGTCCATGTATTGCTTTTTGGAGGATTTATGGGTCCATTGATAGCCCAGGGGTACTCCACACCTGCAGCTCTGCAGAGAAACAGCAGATCATCATCCCCTTTTGTGTCCCCTTAGGAGAGAGCTGGGCGCCCCTTCCGCTGTGGGACCGGAGGCTGAGGACAGGACAACCTCAAATCCTCTCCTGTTTTTGGATTTTCCTTTTCCTCCCTCATTTGCCACGGTGTGTTTGCCTTGCTGGGGCTGTGTGCTGTCGGGATGCCTTGGGGTCACGAGCGATGCTGCCCGGGCTGAGGCTCAGCACGACGTTGCTGGCAGAGATGGGGTGACTGTGCTGCATCACCCGCACCCTGCACATTTGGGGGGGCCCGAGGGAGACAGACTCACCCCCTGAGCCATGCGACCGGCCCCACTGGGTGCTGTGGCTGAAAATCCTGCCTCACAAGGGTCCTTTTCTCCTGCTGGGCTCCCTGGCAGGCCATGCCAGCACAGACTCCTCCGGCCAGCCTGCTGCGCATTCCCCAGCCTGGGGAATAGCTGGAATTCTTGAATTTCCTCCCCCAGAGTGAGACCGGCTGATCCAGCCATGATCTGCAGTGAGCACCAGCATCTGGCTGCAGGGAGAGGACACAGGGGTCCCCTGACACAGCAAGAAGGCTCCAAGCTCATGAGAGACCCCAGTTCAGTCCCAAGAGTGGGCACATCCCTGGGAAGTTTAGGGTTTTTTTTTCAGAAATACCTGGGTGCTGGGGCAGCTCTGGGAGCCCTGGGCTGGGGGAGAGGCTCTGACCCGCTTCGGATTCCCAGCAGTGCCCACTCACCCATGTAGGTCTTTTCTTAAAGCCCCAGCTCCTGGAGTCACGCCATCCATGGAGGAGCTCAGCTTAGTTCACCACTAAGGGGTGGTACGAGCCCTCGAGGGAAGGGATCTCCTGGGGAGTAGGGTCCTTGTGGGGACCTGCTCTGACCCCCAACCTTTGGAGGGGATGAGACCCCTCCGTTAAAGCGTCGGGATTTGCACTCAAACATGAGCA